TGTATGATGGGCTTTTTAATTTCTTGGTTGATCAATGTTGTTTTTGAAGTGAGTGGCTAGGTGAGCTCCTGAGCAACACTAAAATGGTACCAAGTTTAACTTCTCCACACATCACTCTAAAATTCCTAAAATACCTGCTGACTCACTGTTCAAACTTTAGTTTCCAAATATCAACAAGAATTCTGTGGAGTTCAGGACATGACTGAGCATTATAAAAGAATGGAATGCATTTTTAAGATGCAGTTGCTTTGAGATTTGTTTGGGCCCACAGTGATATGAATTTCATGTTTTGATTTTCATTTTTAATACCTGACATCCTCACAAAGAAGTAGATATCCATGTGAACGTCTTTGTATGTGTCAGACACTGGCTACACTCCGTCTATTTAAGCAGAAGAAGGATAAAGGAATGTGACCAAAAGTGGTTCAGAATGGAAGCACAGGCCTAAGATTGTGGTTCTAAATAGGGCCCAATACTCACTCGGAATCTGATTTACTTTCATTTTCATTTTTGTCCACAGTGCCAGTCAAATTTAACTTTACAAATCATATCATACATGAAAAATAGTGCTGTATCTACTGCATACCCTAAGTTTGTGCCACTCATGTATTGCCATTATATTAGAGCCACAGAGCTTTTCTGAAAGATACTGTCAAATCTGAAAAACTCAAAGGGTGGTTTAAACTAGGTAGAATCATCCAAAGATTCTTCTAACCATTTGAATCAAAAGAATTTCATTATAAAAATGATTATTTAAATTTTAATTTACAACATTAATTCAGGTGAATGAAAATAGCCCATCTTCTTGCAGCATTATGAATACCTTCTCCATCCATCCATACCATTTATCGTGTGGAAAGTCACAGGGGAACAGGAGCCTAACCCAGCTGCCATTGGGGGAGAGGTGGAGTACACCCTGGACAGGTTGCCAGTCTATCACAGGGCTGACATATATAGAGAGAGAGACAACCACTCACATTCACAGACAATGTGGAGTCACTCGGAAACCCAACCTAAATATCCTTGGACTTTGGGAGGAATCCAAAATACCTAGAAAACTCACACTGTCAAAGGGAGAAGAAAGGCCCCAGGCAATATTGTAAATGTTCAAGGATCACTAAGTATTTATCTTAGAAAAGTAAATGCTTAGCTCTGTGACATATATCAGTACTACATGCGAGGCACAAACTGCAGCTCTATGTGCCTTTACATTGAAAAATTTTCAGGCATGTACACCAAGGGTAATGTGAAATTCAGGACTCTTGAAAGTATTAATATGAACATGGGATAATACAGGCTTCCACATGTCTGCTGTCACATATGACTGAGTAATCAACAGCAGCAGAGGGACCAGCCAACACTTTCAAAGTACTTCTTATAAAAAACACAGCCCTCCTGCAGCTTGTTACTGCAGCCATGAAAGCACTACAGGTGCTCCAGAGGTCAAAGGTCAAATCCACTAGAATTACACTTACTAAAATCGATGACAGTTTTTAAACGAAGCAAACAACCAGAAAGTGGAAGTGCAAAGGAGTTTTCTATCTTCTCATGTGTAAACCACTCTCATTTAGGAAGGACACTTACCTCAAACTATCTCGGGCTTCCTTTTTTTTGCCCTTGTATCAAAGTCTGGTTGCTCCTCACTAAACAGCTCCCATCCTAGTCTCTCTCCCCCTTCTCCACAATCCTCCTCCCTTTCTCTCCCCCAACCAGTCTCTCTCCTGCCCTGGAGGAGTCTTGTCTTAAGAAAGAGCCACTGGCTGCTAACATCAGTCCCTGACTCTTTTGCTCTGTCTGCATTTGTACCGCTGGAGAGTGTGGGAACTGCTTAGCATCCAACACATCTTTATATTGGATCTCAGGCCTGATCATCCTTAGACATGCTGTCCTGGTGGTGTTGTCCAGCCCTGGCTGGAGCTCATAGCCAAGAATCTTCACTAATCCACTCTGAAATGGCCGGATATTTTCGTCTCGGATACGGTGTGCCTCCACAGGTTTCCCACCATCCCTGAGACAAACCTGAGCCAGTTCTTCCCTCCGCATCCTGAGACGAGATACTTCCTGCTCCATCTGGACTTGACCGAACCTGTCAATTTCCTCCCAGAAGGTCCTGTTGAAGGATTCGTATAAGAACCAGTCTAAGGCATTCCACTGCCGCAGCTTCTCCCGTTGTTTCTCTGTTAGTGGTATCTTGGCTTGTGAATGTCCACTTCTAACATTGACCCCAGTCACTGCCACCGCTTTGCCCACCCAGCTACCAGTCATCCCCCCAATGGCACTAGGCTTCTGTTGCCGAGCATTGAGACTGAATGAGACAACAGCATCCAGTGGCCAGCAGAGAGCATGTCTCAGCAGAATCATGGACTGGTCAAAGTATTCAGACACTAGAATCAGCTTGAAGGTTTGGCGAATCATGGCTTCGCCACTCTGAGCCAGTGCCAGAGAAAAATTAGCATTGTGGTCCATCCCAAAGTCAAACCACAGCAGGTTACGGGCATAGTGGTTGTTGCGGAGACGAGGGTCATAGTATCTCTTAGGATCATCAGCAAAGTCACCCAAGCTTTTCGCTTTCTGAAAGGCGGGCGCTACTTCTTTGTAATAGGCAAAAGAGGACTCTGCCAAAGTGACAGGGTCCCTGATGATAGAAAAGTAGAATGTGTCTGCTGGCATCACCTTTTCCACCTAAATGACAAAGGAGAACTCGGTTACAACAATGTGCTACTAATGTGATGCAATTCAACTACAGCAACAGTTATAATATATTGTATTCTCTTTGATTCCTCTGGACATCAGACATCTTGCCGAGAATGTCTTTATAGTTTCATTTTCTAGCAAATGATCTCCAGTACTTTCAGAAGAAAACTCTCAGCCATGTGCCCAGCATCGGGTACAGCATCAACTGCTCACGGTCTGAAAGCACTTTTACTTTCTGTACAGAAGTAATGTAACATGTTGTAGCATAAAGAACATCCCCTCTTTGGTGCCAAATAATGATTAAACATTATTTAGGGTGAATTCCACAGGGATACTCATCCATGGGTTGTCATTTCTCTCACCTGTGTTGTTTCCTTGTATCTTAATTCCACGATGTGAGTAAAAATGCAAGGAAAACATGCAAAGAGAGAGGACTCAATGCACGTTATTAACGACATGAAATGTCCTTTCCTCATTCATCCTATCCTTCATCTGAAGCATCGAATCACCAATGATTTCTGATTATGAGGCATCAGTTCATAAAAAATATCCACAAAGGATGGTCTCATTGAGGACTGATGTATAAGATACATGAGAAACACCCAATGTGCTAAATAAGCCTGAGGCTATACAGAGGTCAGAGTTCACCATCCTATTGGTCTGAGGAAAAGTTTTTTCTGAGGCTCTTTCTGTTGCTCTGGCACAGATATGTAGAAGAGTGAAAGAAGAGAAATGACAAAGTGTGTTTCATGCTGGTGGCTTAAAAAAAACAAAACAAAACAAAAAACTGACAATTTGTACACGATGTTTGCAATACTGTTTACCACATCCCATGTAGAAGCCACCATACACCGAGTATAATCGATATATCGCCCACCCCTACATGGAACTCTTGCTAAATGTGATTTGTCATTTGTATCATTTGGGCATATTTTTGGAACATACGGAAAATTTGTCACTTCAGTTTGATTGCACGTGAAGATTTAACCCTAAGCTCAGCTGTGGGAAAATGGCTAAACAGAAAATGCTAATGTAAGGCTGGGTCTTGGCATCAAGTATCTGCTCTTTACTTTGGTGAGGATAGGATTCAGGAATGTTACAGCACTGGTAGGAACAGAGATTCCTAAGCAGGCCATGGCATTCAGATGAAAGTGGCACCCAAGCCAGTGGGGCCAGCCACAGTAGCCTAGGCTAAGCAGATACAATGTAGATATGATGATGGCCTTACTTGGGTGAGAGTAGGAATTAAAAGCAGTTTTAAAGTATGTTAGGTCAGTTTAAAGGTACAGTAGGCTGAGCTACAGAATGGTTTCATGGCTGCTGTTGTGGGGCCCAGCAGATTTGTGATGGAAGAGCCTGATACCCACTGGCCTTCAGTAGGAATGCTCACCCAGCTCTTGGCACAATTCACTGTGTGCTGATAACAGACTACACCCTAAGCATGTCAGATGTTCACTCTTGGATTTTCACATCACAAAGCTTTACTGTGTTTTTCTTGATTATTATAATAATAAAACAATTTTCTGGAAGGAACCAAAAGCACCAACTACCAGGTTGCAAATTTGTTGCATGACCTAAGCTGTCTTCATTAACACCTCACTACAAAATATCTTGTCATCATTGTTCCACTGTCAAGCTTGTATACCATTTGCCCCTCTCTTTACTTGCATAACTCACCTCTGGCTTATTAAATTTCATGTGATTGCCCATGATGTGGAACTCCATGACTCTGGGACCTCGGTATCCTTTGACCCTGTGAGCGTTGAAGGGCAGCGGGTAGCCCAACTGGTAGCTCAGTGGCAGGGCGAAGCGGAGGTCACGCTCCTCTCCAAAGCGATAGAGCATGTTGAGCACAGTGCTGCTGGCTGTCTTGTGGGTCTTGAGGAACATGATGTGGGTGTGGGGCTGACAGGAGCCCAGCAAGGGCTCCTGAGCATCAGGGGTTGAAAAGATGGAACCAGCAGGTGGCTGGACACTGCTGAAGGACAGGTGAAAAGAAGGAATAATTTTTTACTTTAGATCTCAAACTGTCTATGTTTACAATCCTACAGTTTAGTGCCTTAAAAACTGCAACATTGATGTTTTTGACATACAGTAAATGGGGTGGTCAATTCAACAACAGCATAAACTACAGTCTTCAGAATCAGAATCAGCTTTAATGGCCAGGTGTGTCAGACACACGAGGAATTTGACTCTGGTACAGCAGCTTTCAATGTGCATGTACATATCCCCATGCAAGGGGCAAGTGAACAGTAAACCAACATAAGGCTGTGTAGTATAACAAAATAAACCGTATTAACAAGCAATAAACAATACAAACTGATCATACAGTTGAATCAACAGCTCTGAAACTGTTTGAATAAAAACTGAACATCATTACCTTCATAAAGAGAGGGTTTATTGCAGGACTACTGAATTACACAGAACAGTGTATTTTAGTCCTGACTGATCTTTTTGAGAAGCAGATTGTTCTCAAATCTGTCAAACTGAAAGCACCTGAGTGGTGTCTTAACAGGTGCATATAAAGGTGTGTCTTTCCGTCTGATGCCTGACAAAGACCTTGCACATATTGATACACTGCAGTAATTGAATTAAATTATTGGGTGCTTAATACAGTGTGCAAACATTTGTTCTTGCTCTTTGTCTTCAAGACATTGTTGGTTCACCTGTAAAAAAAGATCATTTTGTCCTCTGTTGTTTGCAGTACTTCTTATCTGCCTGAGTTATCTCTATTAGCAGGCAGGTACATCTTGTTCAGACCACAGTTAGTCTATTAGTGAGGATGCCGGTGTTCCAGCTGCACATTATAGCTGCGTTTCCCATATCAGAAATTTGATCTGTTTTTGGAGCTGTGAAGACCCACTAGTAGACCAAGCTAACTCCCCTTAGCAGGCACCTACTTCCTGTTCATAGCAGAGTCAGCAAAGACACTGGCTGAACATGCTCAGAACAGTGGAGATGACAGTGGACTTTAGGCAGAACCCCCCCATGGAGGCACCATACTCAGCAGTATTGGCCTTGAGGTTCCTGTTCTCCACTGTCTCCCAGGACCTGAAGTGGATGTCCAACATCAGCACCATCACCAAGAAGGCACAACAGAAGAAGTACTGCCTGCGCCAGCTCAGGGAGTTCAACCTGCCCTGGGAGCTGCTGATACAGTTCAATTCAATTCAGTTTTATTTGTATAGCACCAAATCACAACAAACGTCATCTCAGAAACCAAACTGGACAGGAACAAACTCCAGCGACAGTCAGGACTGCAGAAAAGGTCATTAGTGCCAGCCTGCCCAACATGGAGGACCTGAACACCTCACGGGTCAGAGGAGGGCAGAGAAGATTTCTGCAGACCCCTCACACCCTGGACACAAACTGTTTGAACTCCTCCCTTCTGGATGGCGTCTGGTGCACTGCCTTCTTATAATCTCTGCACAATTCGATATAGGGTATAAAATATTTCGGGGAGGGGGGTTAAACCTGAAATCCATTGCCCTGGCTACGCTTTCGGCTGAGAGACATCATGTCCTGTGCCATTTTAACTTCATTTATCAATCAATGTGTAAAATATTAAATGTTAATGAATCCTTTAGGATTCTAGAGATGCTGCATCATTAGCCAGTACAAGCACAGACTCAGCTGATCCACATATAGCCTCAGCCAGTGCACTGACCTCTTAAGATCGATCCTCTTAAGATTCGAGAGAAAAAAATTCTATTCAATAAATATTGTTTGTATAACCTATCTATTTATGTCTATTTATTCTTACACAAATGGAACAAACTGTTTCATTGGAGGGAGTATTGTAGTGGGAGCACTGGGTGTCAGTGACTGCGTGGCAATGGCAAATGGTTTACTTGGCTCAAGGATCAGGTAGGAGGGTTCCTTCACAGAATTTTGCATAGGGCCCCAGGGAAGTCAGGATCAGCTCTGTTTACTACAGGACTGGTGCATCTATTTTACGTTCAGAACTGTAGCGCTGACTTTTCTTCTCACCAATCAGCCTGCAAATAGATGTCAGCTGAATCTCGGTGAATTGTACGGTGTAAAATAAACTCAATTTCAACAAGAATGAAACCTATTCAGATCCACAGTGCTGGTAAAACCATAGTTCATCCCCACATCAGTGCTTTAGATGAGATCACTGTGATAATGAACAAATGTCGAAATGAGCAAAGATCAAAAACAAGGAGAAGAAGAGTTAAGCATCAGGTCTTTGCAAACAAACCATGTACTGCTGTGTTCTGCAAGTCCAACCAACAGCTTAGTGACGACAGCGCCTGGCCCGGTAGCGCGAGGGAAGGTGGTGGCAGCGGTCGGAGCCCACACACCTAAAATTTCTTCAGAAATTTTAAATTCTCTACTTTTGCCATGAAGTGCTGCTAATGGGACCAGGCTGCAAGTCTTAACAACTGCAAAGCAAAGATCAGAAATGACAGCGAAACAGCTGAAGTTAAATGCAAATAAAAATACAACAAACAGATTAAATCAGATACCTCTTGCTGAAGATGACCCCCAGCAGCTGGCTGGTGAAAGCAATGGCCACACAGAGCAGCAGTGCTTTCCAGATCCACACTGGCCCCAACCGACCACATGCCAGCCATCGCAACATCCTGGGGGGGGGGAGCAAAGAAAGAGTTGGAGAGGACAACCAAAAACAGGTAAATAAAATGATGGGTCAGAAAAAAGGTTAAAGAAAGAAATGGGTGAGAGTGGAAAGGGAGGATGTACAGTGGTGGAGAAGGGTCAGTTGAATAGTGTGTGGAGGATAATAAAAAGGGAGAGAAAGAAGAGTGGTGGAGTGCAATGGGGGGTGGATGGAAATTGTGAAATGATGTTATTGAGGGGGAGGAGGGGGACCAAGTGATATGATGCCATATGAAAACAGAGAAGATGAAGAGGTGGGCAGAGCGTGGGAGGGAGAAGAGTCGGGGGGTTGGGGGGGAGTAGAGAGAAGGAGAGATATGGGTGAGTCATTAAACAAACATGACTAAGACAGAGGGGAAGCAGCCTGAAACCATCCAGACACAACAGAACCCGATGCATTTGACACTAAACATTTAGAATTTAATTTTCTGAGCAATATCTGTTTGTTCAATAATATTTATTGATAATGTTTTTATTCTTGCATTGTCTTCTAGACTTTAGTTTTGCTCATCATATACACATAGTAAATCAAATAAAGATGAGATCCCAGGGTGATAACTGAAGCCTGCAGCCACCCCCTTTCAGACACACGCTCCTTTCCACTAATCTGATGGTGTGTTGGCTTCATGTCTGTGCACCTTTTCCATAGACATTAATGTCTTCATTTATGATCATGTACACATGATGGCCACCTCAGCACTTCAGATATCAATGTCTAAACTTTATGCAAATCACCAATTCTTAAACCTGAGTCTTCTGATATGTTTTTGTGAGCCATGGGGTTCATATCTGCAGATGTGATCCCAGTTAGAGTAGCTGTAACTTACATCTCCAGTCTGGTTCCATTGTTTGGACAACAGGTATAAGACCATTTACCATTAGCTGAGGAGCTCACACTTTGTTTCTGACCTACAATGTGAATGTTTGAATGATATATTCAACATGGACAAGAACAATACAATAATTAATGTGGTGGTTAAAACAGATTGTTTTTGTTCATAATGGTAAATTTCATCAAAATCTGATCATATTAACACAAATTAGCTTTTTCTTCTACTCTATCACAACTGTATAAAGTAGACAACATATCACTGTCACCTATCTCTATATACAGGGCAACATATTAATATGAATTATTTAATACCAACTCTGTCCATTCTGTACTGTAGCTGAGTGCTATGACAATATCCAAAACTTATCTTCTATGATCTAAAACTTACAAGTCAACATCATTTTTTTGTGTTTTTGTACAAAACCTTGTTTGGTGCCAATTTGAAGACCTTTTTCTCTATAGCAGCAAATAAAACTATTTCTATAAGGTCAACCCCAGAGACAGGGAGATAAATTTGCACAAGGAAATTCAGATCCCAACTGTATTACTGTTACTCAGTGGCCCAGAGCTGCATCTGTGAGTGGGAGATAAATAGCTGTAACCACATTTGTACATTTGCTTATCACAATGTCAGTTTTACAAATAAGAATGTTATACAGTTATACAGACAATGGCCAACCTCATCTCACCTTTTATTGTCTTTTTATGCAAAGCCCTAGCTTAGGCGCTGCGGTACTGAAACTGTTAGTGAATTATGGAGCTAGTTTCTAAGATATGAAGCTGCCATGTGCTGGTAAAAAATTAAAAGCTGAATCTAAACTGGAAGCACCAGTTCTCTGCCAAAGTCTGAACCTGTCAAATGGTTTGTCCAGCAAAAGAAACCAAAAAACAATCTATCCATTCCATTTCATCCATATAGCTGAAACTTATATAAGGCTGGTTATTGGCTAAAAGGACCCGCTGGTTCCGCTTCACTGCTGAATCAGAGCTTCTCAGATGTGAGGACTTCAGTTTGGTGTTTATGACACGTGAATACCATTTGTTTTTATGCTAGCCAGACGATATAAGCAACCGAAGATCTTATGTTAGTGTGCAAAAATTTACATTTCATATTTTATTCTAAATAATAATCTGAAATATACTTGGAAAAAAAACTTTGATAACTGTGATTATAAAAAGCTGTAGTTTTATACAACAGTAATGTAAGTTGACAGCTAGCTGAATGATTGACTGATCGATTGATTAAAAGGAAAATTATAGCAGCTGGACAGCACAATATTCTTTGTATGCCATATAATATCTCATATTCCATCTTTGTAAATTATGGTGTTAATGAAAAAAATACTTAAAGACACCACAGTGCCAAGACACAGTGTTGTGGTGATGGGGTGGAGACCCTGATGGTCTCCACCCCATCACAGGCTGCTTCTCAATGCATTCTTGAGTTTTCACTGTGGCCTGACCACAGCAATTCCTGGCACTGATCATCTCCCTCAGAAAATCAGCACATATGCTAAAACATGGGAAGAGCAGAGGTACAGATAAGCTTCACATGTAGGAGTGGAATGATCGTTAAAAAAAAACCGGGGGAGAAATATGCAGAGGGTTCGTCAGAGGCCTCCAGCCCGCAGCCTGCGGAACAAAGACGCCTTATTTTAGAGAACAGTTTCCGTGTCCACACACAGACACCGATCGCAGACAGACTGCATAAACGTTATAAGGCCAGTGCGACCTCCAGTTCTCCACCCACACCCTCTCCTCCTTCTCCGCAGGGTAAAAGCCCAGCGTCGCAATCACTGCATCCCAGTCGGTGGAAACCCCTGTCTAGTTTTCGTCGCTTCCCATTTTTCCCCCTTTACGGTTCTCGGTAACGTTACCTGGCTCTCCGTCTGAAAAGCATTTCTTTGTCCCCGGACGGGTCTCGGTGGCGGTGTTGTTGTGCAGCTACAGAGAACTCGGAGCATCTCGAAGGCTTCAGCTGCAACCGATCCACCGCCGGTCCAGATCAGGCCATGGACCCGAAGCAGCCCCGCGGACCGAAACAGAGCCTGGATAAGTCTTTATGATCCCGATAGCTCTCTCAGTCCCGACCGAGCTTTTAACAAAATTCTTTTTCTAATGCTTGTTCTGCTCACGGCCAACACAGACACAGATTATGTACAGAGGATCCAGAAAGAGAGAATGAGGGGTACTTCCGGACGCTTGCAAAATAAAAGCATTGCAGAAGGAAACGAAAAAGAAACGAAGAAACCACTGTCGGTCACTTCTGGCTACTTGGATTTTGATTTTTTTTTTCATTTTGTGTACATTTTATGTTCAGCCTGAGGATCTTCTCCGCACTTCCAAAGATTGAATCACCTTGTTAAATAACCACCATGTGTTCCTTAACTCGACCCAAATTTCCCAACATGACATGAGCTCCTGTCCTCAAAGATGGTTATTGTCCTTGTTAATTAGTAAATCCTCTTTTTTTGTTAGTATAAAGCCTATATATATAAAACATGTAAAATTTCTAGAGTTTATTTATATAACATCTTTCAAGAACAGATCTCATGAAATGGTTCATAGTAAGGACAAGAGTAAAGGTCAACAAAAATGCTCAATCATATTTTCTGCTAATGGTGGAAGAAGAACTCAGATTGTTTACTAAACCAAAAGTATCAGTACCACAGTGTAAAAACACTGTTACAAGCAAAGACATTCAGAAGGTTGCTTAAGTAAAGGTTTTTGCATCAAAATGTACTTAAAGTACCAAAAGTTAATGCACTCGTTTTGCAGAATGGCACAGCTCACATTAATGTATATCCTATTATTGGATTTGATTATTGATGCATTATTGTGCACATCACATTAAATTTTGCACTGTTAAAGGTGGAGCTAATTTTAACTGCTTTATATGCTTATAATTTGAAGTACTTTACATACTGCTCTGTAGCTTGTGAATTTTCCACCAGGGATCAATAAACTCTTTTGTTTGATTCATGTCATGTTGAAAAGTAACTAATTGGTGGCTGATTCAGAACACCTGGTTAATTCCACCCACCTATTAATGTTGCTCTCCACCCTACATAAACTGCTTTGTTTCTGCCAGGCAGTCATTAGCATTCAGTGCTGTGCTGCACATTCCTGTCTTCACCTGTCACAGGACCTGCATTCTAATCTTTGTAACCAAACCCGTTATGGTCCTGTCTGGTTCCACCTGTGCTACATAGGCTGCATGAAGTGCCGTCCTGCCATCTCCTATTACCTGCTCTCTAAACCTGACCACCTGCAGTCTGATTTACACTCCACCTAGCACTTGTCGCTCGCTGTGTTTTTCATTGTTTTCCATTGTTCCTGTTTTTTGCTACCAGTTACCCAACCTGTTTAGTCTGTTAGAACTGCTGCCTGTCTAGCCCCAGCCTGTTATCAGGGACTGGTTTTTGACTGTTGTACCTGTATGCTATCTGCCTATGCCTCTACTTGTTCTCCCATGTTTTGGGGTTCACTGAGTGCATTTTCTGTTTTTGCAACTGAAGAGAACTGTATTTTTTTGTTCTTGTTGTTGGTGCCTCGTGCATACTTTTTAGTTGTGAGAGGTGAATTCCCACCTGTTTCCAGCTGTCTTGAGTATCAGTCCTCTTATATTGTGGTCTGTGCTCTGGGGATGGTTTTCTATCACATCTGACCTGTGTACAATCGTCCTACGGAGTAGTTCCTGTGCAGGTTTAGCTTGCTTGTCCACTCTTATGGACCTGTCTCTTATGCATGCATATATATATATATATACACACACACACACACACACACACACACACATTATATAAATGTAATTATTTATAAACAAAATGAAAAGTCCAAACTCCCAGGTATAGAGCTCCAAATAGCATTCCCTCTGCAACCGGCACCTTTCAGCCTGCCCTTCCTCAGTTTTTGCCTATGCATCCCATAGTACCTGGCCTTTCTCAGACTGCAGATGTTTTTTCCTCTGGCTATTGCGACAACTCCTTTATCTGTGTTTTTATGATGGCAATTTGCATATACTCCAGAATGTTATGAATAGTGATCAGATGAATTGCAATTAATTGCAAAGTCCCTCTTTGCGATGAAAATGAACTTAATCCCCCCCCCAAAAACATTTCCACTGCATTTCAGCCCTGCCACAAAAGGACCAGCTGACATCATGTCAATGATTCTCTCATTAACACAGGTGAGAGTGTTGATGAAGACAAGGCTGGAGATCACTGTTTCATGTGGATTGAGTTGAGTGGCCCACATGTTGACTGACAGCATGCCAGGGTGAATTGCAAAGGTCTTGAAAAAGAAGGGTCAACACTGCAAATGCTGACTCTTTGCATAAACTTAATGTAATTGTCAATAAAAGCCTTTGACACTTGTGAAATGCTTGTAATTATACTCCCATATACCATAGTAACGTCTGACAAAAAGATCTAAAAACACTGAGGCAGCGGACTTTGTGAAAATTAATATGTGTCATTCTCAAAACTTTTGGCCACAACTGTACTGTATTTTCTCATGAAGGCCTGGTGGTCATTAGCAACAAACCACCATTTTGCAACAAAGATCTCACAGCAGTTGAGTTTGTTTATGCCTTTTTGTTGTATCGTGATGTCATATGGTCAATTTTCCCAACCCACTACACTGAGCTGGATGATTACCTCACAATAGTAATGGGCCTGGGACTTTGCTTCAGCAGAACAGCCTTCTATCAGTACCATGTAGGATTTGCTTCTCAGGCCACCACATGACTCTACCAGTTTATCCAGGGCACATACATGGGGTACAGCAACCAGGAACTTTACTGCTCCATTTTTGCCTCTCACCAGGCTCTCCTGTGTTATTCTTACAGTGCTACCTGCCATCCTGCCTCCACCTTCGTGACACCAGCGGCCTGGTCCAAAGCTGTGGTTCACTCACCACCCCGGCCTTCCACTACCTCCTTTTTTATTCCCACTGATAATATTTATTTTTGTGTAATAGGAAATAAAATATCAGGGTTTATGAATGGTGACATTAGAACCAATCTCTGTTAAGAATATATTAGAGTATAGGAGGGTGTTGTTCTGTATGAACAGTATTTCTACTTTTTATATGTAATAGTGTTTCTACTTTTACACATGTAATCAGAATATTTCTACTTTTTATATGTATCAGTATTTTTACTCAAGTACCTATCACTTTACCACAGTAAAACATTAAGAAGTATCACAGTCATACATATCTTTATTCAGCAAAGGATGTAACTGTGTTTTATTTTTGCACTGAATCTATTTATTTTACTTTAGTTATTTATCGTGATTTTATTCTGTCTATGTAAAGTACTCTGATCAACTGGATGTTGTTTTTAAAGTGTATATAAATTGATTTGATTTGATTTGATGTAACAGTGTATATTTTCTCTGTGTCATCACCCATTCAAGATTGGTTACACCATAACAGGCTATTTGTCTGGTTAAATGGTAACCTGTATGCAAGGGCAAACTTGTTATAAAATGTTTAACTCACAGTAAGTTTGTTGGTCTCTAATTTGTCATGCAGCAGTCATGTTATGATTCAGAGCCTCTTTATTGCATATGCAACACCCTAATCTTCTGGTATTTTATGTATTTTAAGTATATGCTGTATGTATACAGTATGTTAGTAATCAGTGCCTGTCTGAGGTTTGTTTTTTTTCTCAGCTCTCTTGAGCGTTCAGCATGATTTCTGAGTTGATTTGTTAACAGGCCATGATGAACTATGGTTCATCGTCTATATTTACACACACACACTCACACACACACACACACACACACACACACACACACACAGGGCCGTGCACAGACCTTTTGAGGGGCATGTGCTGAAATTGAAAAAAGGGCACCCCTCCACCTCCGAAAAAAAATAACACAAAATACTATTCTTATACCGGGCATCTTTATAACTAATTACAACAACACTCTTCTGTGAGCCACGTGTTTGAAGATGTTTATGACCTCACTGTGATCCACTGGGATGTCCCTCTCAGTGGCTATAAGCAGAAGGTCGGAGAGTCTCTCCTCTGAGCCCGGGCATCTTTATAACTAATTACAACAACACTCTTCTGTGAGCCACGTGTTTGAAGATGTTTATGACCTCACTGTGATCCACTGGGATGTCCCTCTCAGTGGCTATAAGCAGAAGGTCGGAGAGTCTCTCCTCTGGTATGAAACACCTTCAGCTCTGTCTTCAGTTGCTGCTCCTCCTCAACACCATAAAGTTAAAGTGTTTTTATGGCTTGGACAGCCTCTGTGTTTGGTGTGCCTACCCAGTTGTCATGAACTGTCAGGCTTTGGAATGACTGCAGTATTTTTCCTGTGGGCATCGTCCCATCTACTTTAAATCTTCTGTTAAGTCCCTCTGTGATTGTATCTAGGAACATGAAATACACCTTGGCTCGGTAGAACTCTTCAACAGTTTGGAAAGTACGGCTGTCTTGAGCAGCTGTAGCACTATGCAGGTATCGTGCTGGCACTTTCCTTTTCCTTCCATGGCCAGGAGGTACTGTGGGAATGTTCATACCTGCATCTTCTGCCTTTTCAATGGCTTTCTGGAATATGGTTTTAAATTCCTCCTCAGACCTCAGATTCTTTACTGTGTCTAGCACACCATCAGTTACTGTGTAGGCAGTGGAGACATCCAGATCTTTTTGTTGCAGAGCATCAGAGGCAACTCCAGTTACCTGGAAGACTGTGGTGGTGATTTCTAAGCAAAGAAGGAATTCAACGTCGATAGCCCTCAGGTACATCGTTGCATCACCAGCAGCTGTGTCAGGTGGGTCTGACTCACTGATGTCTGTCAGAAGCTTGATTAAAGCTTTCAGAACTTTATTGAGGGCTTTCAGGGATCTTTCTCTGCAGGACCAGCGAGTGTCAGACAACTTCTGCAACTCAACAACACGCTGACCAGGATACAAGGACTGCTGGCATTTTAAAAATGCTGTATGCCTCTTTGTGGAGCTGGTGCAGAAAACATACAGTTTCTCCACCAAGGAGAAAAATGTCACAAAGTGAACACTGGACTTGGCACTCTCAACTAGTACCAGATTCAAGCAGTGTGCCTGGCAATGAACATAAAGAGCCTTTTCATCGTGTGCACATATCCGGGATTGTAGACCTTTGTACATTCCACTCATGTTCGCAGCTCCATCATATCCTTGGCCCCTGATGTTCTTCAAGTCAAGTCCATTGTCTTGAAGGAGAGAGATGACAACATTCTCCAACTCTTTTCCTGTTGTGGACTCAAGAGTGCAGACCTGTAGAAAACACTCCTTTATTTCCATGTCACTTACATAGCGAACTACAAAGGATACCTGCTCTTTGTGAGAGACATCTGTGGTCTCATCCAGAAGGATGGAGAAGATTTGAGCTTCTTTAATTTCATTCTGTATTTTCCTCCTAATGAAGG